ATTATATATAGCTAGCGTATTATTAATATAATATATATATAGGTATATCTCGGAGCATCATATACATTTTTCATGCTTCACAATTAATACTCTATCATCTGTGAATGGATTTATATATATATATATATATATATATATATATATATATATATATATCAAGGTTGTAAAAAGGTAATCGGGTCAGAGGCGGTCAAGGACCGACTCACGATTAATCGGTGCGTCGGTGATTAATCGGAAATAAAGCGGTTTTTAAAATTTAATATAATATATTTGTATATATTATTTATAAATACTCAAAACATAGATAAAAAATATTTAAACATAGTTATATCTCTATCATGTATATATTCTAATAATATAATAAAAGTTTAATAATAATAAGATCATAATACATAAATATCCTTATTAAATATAAATAAAAGGCAACTTTTTTGAATTTACATACATTCTTGGCATACATCATTAGTTTTTTAACAATAATAATTAACATAAACAAAATAAAGCATAAACTCATATTTTTTTTAATTAAATCCCAACTTTTATTTTGATTTATATAAATAAAATAAAAAATAAAAATAAATAAAAACGATTTTTGACCGCGATTTTTGCCAACAAAGTTTGACCCGCCTTAAAGGTTTGACCGCCTCGGACCGCCTCAGACCGCCTCAAACCGCCTCACAGGCAAAAAACCGATTTTTCAAACCTTTACACTAAAATCGTAAAGGTTTTCGACAGCCTCCGCTTCGGCGACCGATTAATCGGCCGCCTCGGCCAATTTTTAGAACACTATATATATATATATATATATATGGGGTTATTTTACATACCCATAGCCATCAAATAAACTAGGGATAAACCCAAGCCCAAATTATCATTTGACATACTCCCCTGGAGAAACGAAAGTACTATCCTACCCTTACATGCAATTTTCGGCCAAACTGCATTCAACATTTCTGGTACTGCATTTATCATTTTCGCTGATTTATTTATTATTATTATATTTTTTTTAATAAATAATAATAAACCTGTTTGTTAAATTTATATATATTTATTTTTTTATTTAAAAAAAATAATTTTTTTTTTTATTTTTTTAATTTTCAAAATAGTATGTTTACTGTACCGAAATTAACTACATATAACTATAGTACCTATAGTAATTCGTAGTTATGTTCTTTTTTTCCCCATATTTTTAGTCGATCAATTGTATATACACACGAATACTGGTTTATACAAAAGAAATTCATAAACCCCAACAAAAATTTACAAATTTTAATATTTTTATTATAAATCACCTCAGAACCAATAAAAATACAAAATCGAAAATACACACATATATGCATATGTAACTACATGTTACTATATGTATAGTAATGCATATACAGTTTGTTGAACACTGCTTCACATGCAACTTCAACCAAATGTTTGACACCTTCAAGGAGAGGATCAATGACTTTCATTAAGCTGCAATTACAAAATAAAAAACAAAAAAAAAATTACTTTAGTGCAAATCAACAAAAATTGAAGAAACATCAAAACACTCAAAAATCAACAAACACTAAGAGATCGAGAAATAGAGAGAGAGGTTATTGCTGGAAAATGCTACATATTTTAAATCAAACAGACAGTGACTCCTCACCCCCTCGCCTCCTACCAAAACCCTAGGCGCCGCTAATAACCACCCTCATTTTTGCGCGCCCACAAATGCAAAAAAATATAGAAACAAATCTGAAAACATAAAAACAACGAAATTACCATAAAAATATAGATCTCGACGAGAGGAATCCAACGGTGGGTAGCCCGTCAAATTACGACTGGTGGAACACAAAATACACCTCCGGCAAGACCACCGTCGTCGAATGAAAAAAAATTGCAGAAACAGATCGATCTGCACTCCAAACTGAATGAAATCACCACCAAAAGAAAGAGCTCGACGAGAGGTATCCAACGGTAACTAAACCATCGAATTCCGACCACCGGAGAGAGAGTTATGGCTCCGGGAAGCAAT